CCCTGGCACGCGGGGGGCAAGATCAGGCGCTGCCAGCCTCGGCACTCGCCCGTCGGGGCTTGCCTGGTGCTACGGGGCAAGCTGAGCGCCGAGAATTACAGCGGGTTATGCTTCACAAAAGATCTTCGGCCTGTGGTTCGGCAAGCTCCAGCTGCGAAAAATACATGCTGGGGGGCAGAGCAGACCGGTGTTTGTTCACCGTAATGAAGTTAAAAGCCTCTTTGAGGCTGAGTTTCCAGAGCACCAGGCCAAAGACGGCGAGCAGCGGCTGCAGGCTGGCATGGTCCCCTGGCTGGAAGGAGGATGAGTGGCTGAAGCACCCCGCTCGCTCCCCCAAACCTGCTCTCACCAGCCACGTTTGAACCCGGGAACACCGTCGGCAAGCGTTCTCGACAAGAACAGGAACTGCTGGCAAATGCCAGGCAACCCTGAGGACGAAGCACGTGTTTGACAAAGCAAAATCCCCCATCACACTGACGCTAACGAGCAAGATCCCCAAGACTCAGAGAAGAACATTTCACTTCTCCCATTTGTACGCTGCATGACTCATTTTCTGCAAAGACTTCTTAAAATTTCCCAACTATCTGTCTGTCAAGAGTTGACAAGGAGATTTACTGCACGGAAGCCTGCAATAAGCTTCCTGGAGATTAAGACCACGGCCTGCCATTGTGCTTTGTTCAGGCAAATTACTGACCAGGCTGACAAACTGTCCAAGGAAAAAACACCCTACAAACTACTCACGTCATCTTTAAGGCTTTGCTTTTTAGCAGATGAGCGCCTTCAGCCACCCCGGGCTATTAGCGGGGCCACCACGGCAAAGCCCAGCTCTGCAGTCAAGGCAAGACCAGCAACCCCTGCGTAAAACGGGCGCAGCCGTACCTGCCTGGCACCGCGCTCCCACCCCAGCGCGGCAGAACCAGGCTTTGCCACGTGGATGTGGCCTCAGCAGCGAGACTGGCAGCAGTAGTCACATCACGACTTCATGTGTCACCTGGCTCTCGATGAGGACGGTCGCCGAGTCCCCATCTCCCCCCACCCAGCGCTTTGCACCTTCCTGCTTGGCTCAAAGCGCATCTGGCTCCGGCTCTGCCCAGGGCTGTACCTGAAGCCCATAAAATTCAACGCGTAACCAAGAAGCTCCGTGTGCTCCTGCTTCTCCTGTAACACACCCGTCCTCACCAATATTCAGCTGCGGGAGAGGTTTTAAGCGTGGTGCTGAGACGACAGCAGCGGTGACGGATTACTCTCTGCTCTGAGAAGGGCTGATGAAGGAAGAAGAGTGCTGAAGAGGAGATCCAGCGACAAGGGCAGTCGCCACAGGGATCAGCAGCCTCCTCGGGAGAGGCTCTGGGAATAAAGATGAACAGCTAATGAGCTTACAGGACACAGTGGCGTGGGGCAGCTTCTCCAGGCTCACCGTAGCCGCTGTGGAAACAGGCGCTCCATCGTCTTCACCCCTCTCCCTTCTCCAACCCAGCTAATGCCGAACTCCAGCTCCACGCCGCGTCGCCACCCATGCCTCATGGGGTGCGTTTGCCACGGGGCAGCCGCTGCGACGGTGCCGGCTCCCTTCCACCGGCTCCTCGGGAGAGCGACGTATCCGCCCGAGCGAGCCCCGGCGCCTTGAACAGACCCAGCTCCTCGCAGCTTCTCCCAGAGGAGGGTTAGGTTTCGCAGCTGCATGATACACCCGAGACCATTTAAGCTAAAACGGTTTCCCCGATGGGCAGCGCGCTTCCCCTCCGACTGCTCAGTCCCCAGCGCCAGGCGGCTGTCCGTGCAAGCCTTCCTCGCACGGAGCCATCCCAAGGCTGGTCAGCTGAGGCCCAAGCAGGATTTCCCCATTTCTGGTCACCCAGAAGGGAAGCCAGCCTCCCTCTTTCACAGCTAAGCAACCCAGACCCTGTCCAATATTATTCCGAACAGATTAAAAAACCCCAGGAAGGCCCTAACCATTGCAGTTCCAGCAACCTTTCCCATTTCTCTGATGTGGGAGAGACCAGAAGGTGGGATGGTTACCATTTTCACAGAAGCCTCTTAAGGAAGGACGTTTTAAGGAAGTTGTAGCATCCCCGCGCATGTTACGCTGCTCTGGCAAACAGCGCGGCTGCCGTTCGCCCGTCACGAGAGCAATGATTCCCTGCAAATTAACACCTCTGAAACACCTGGAATGAAGACAACGTTAACGTTTCAGAAGGCGAAGACCGAAACATTGCTGAAAAGCAAACAAGTACTGAGCTGTGAGTCACGCCGAGAAAGGAACAACACTTTGGACACTTCAGAAACCAAACCTGTATCAAACCTGCCCTGGAAGCTCAGGAGCAGCTAATTGCAATCAGCTTCCATGGCAGCAATAGGAGACACGGTCTAGGTCAAGGCTTCCTCGGGTTTTCCTTCCCTGAACCAGCAGCAAAACCACCCCGAGAAGACCAGGGACGGACAGGGCTGCTAGGCCACAAGCCCCACCGCTAGGACGGAGCTGGAGTGTAAGCGTAGCCTTCCTGACCGACAAAGCCACGATGTTTATGTTCCTTTTGCAGACCCAGATTCTCCTCTGGCTCAGCTCAAGCTGCCGACGACCAAGCTCAAGCCTGCGACAGCGGCTTTGGTCAGAGCTCCGAGCAACATCAACGAGCCCCCGAGGACTCTGCAGACCACACACTGAAAACCACCGTCATGAGAAGCTCCTCCCGAGGTGTCAGCGACGCGCCCCGCGGGGCTCCACGCTCCAGCTCGTCCAGCAGCATCCCGGAGTGTTCACGAGGCCTCTCGATGACGCTTCGGTTTGCAGCCCGCGTTTTGCGAGCCCGGCTTCGAGCCCCAGTAAAAGGAAACTCTCCCCCTGCCTTACATTTCATCCATCGCTGCTTCCTCGGGGCTCAGCCTGGTGAACAAGGAAGGGGAACGATGGGTGCAAAGAAAGCGGGGCGGCCGCTTCCACCGAGGCTACGGGGACCGACCCGTTTGCTTCGTTATCTCAAGCCGAACAAAGCCGGAGCGGAGACCGCAGGTGGCAGAAATGGGTTTAAATTTCTGCAGCTTCAGTCATGGCGCCCATTCCTAGGCACACACGGCGTTCTGTTTAAACAGACTGTACAAGTGTTAAAGCAGGGTAGATAAAAAGGCTCTTGCATTTATCTAATTGTGCGCTTAATGGAAAGCCCAGCACGCGAGGGTTCTTCATTTACCCACTGCTGTTATCTCTCAAGAAAGAAAAGATGCATTTGCAGTTTTTCACTCCAGCAGCCAACGCCAGCCTTATCGAGCGCACCGAGCGCAGCCTGGAAGAGGCAATCAGGAGACCCGAATTATTCCCAGTTCTAATCTACAGCCTTAACCGGGTGAATCCACACCCCCCCGCCCGCTGTGCCTCAGCAGCCCCATTCCCAAGAGGGGGAGAGATGCCGACCCACAGTAAAATGCTCCGAAAACATGCACAGGGAAGCGAGGGATGGAGCCTGGAGAGGCTGGGGTGAATTTGGGAATGCTATGGGGAAGATGGTATTTTTAAGAGGTGGGGGGGGAGGCGGGGAGAAGACCTCTCAGCTGGTGATTAGGGGGATTTTTCGGTTCGCCAGGCTGCAAGCCAAGCTCAACACCTCTCGTGGGTTCCCACGGCTGCGACCACAGCACAACCACCCCCCTCTGAAGCGGCGAGGGGGCCGTGCATCCCCGCGCGCCCTCCGCCTTCTCACCACCCAGGCGCGCGAGATCAAGCTTCCAACACCGACGCAATCCACTTCCTAGACTCTCCGAGGTCAAGGGAAAGGGACACCCTTGAAGACTTTGGCCAAGGTAAAGCCTGCTGACCCCTTCGTAAGGCGATTTTCTGGCAAGGCGCCCTCTGTGCCAGCAGCAAAACGCTGCGCGTGAGCCGGGCACGCAGCTGCCGCCTCCTTTTTACAGACCATTCCAGACTCTTCCAAAGCAGAACCAGCTTTTTCTGCCCCAAGTCAATACACAAAATTAGACTTTAGACCAAGAAGAGATAAAAAGAGTTTAATCTCCCGAGGGAAATGCCTTTTACCCCCCGTGCCAGGCACAAGTCACCCCCCGTGTGGGTTAGGAAGACGCCGGCTCCGGTGGGGGTTATGTCCCCAAGACCCGTGTCGGGGCGTACGATACCTTCCCTCGAAGCAGCCGGCGCCGCGACCGTGTCAGGCATTTCCCTGAGGCAGGAACGAGTGATGGAGACCAATTCCCTCATCTGGCGGGGCACGGTGTCTCCCTACCCTCACAAGAACACCCAGATCGGACCAGTTTTCCACCGTGCAATTCAATAAATACCGAGAACAAATCCCTTCCTTATCCGTTCGATTATTTTTGAGGGAGCTTCCCTGCACACGGAGAAAACGCTGGTGAGATGTTCTTCCCTGTCAAGATTAGTTATGATTGTCATTCAGGGCGATAATCAAGAACTAAATTAGCTTTCATTGTCTGTCTCCAATGCCCTCAACACCCACAAACACACAACCAGCTAAGGAGATTAGAGAGCACGCCACGGCTGTCTTGCAAAACCAGCCTTCGAAAGCAAGAGGTCTGAGCCAGATGCCGGATACGGGAGCGCGACACAGCGAAGGATGGCGAGGGGGACTTTGTAGTGAGGGCAGGACTCCAAAAAACCCTTCAGACAACACCCGAAACAACCTTTGGTTTTGCACGAGGCCTGGGACGCAGCTTGCGCTCGGCCTCGCAGAGGCGAACCACGCTCCCGTTACTGCGGCCGGAGCCCGGAGCCGCGCAGGGACGGGAGGTCTCTGGGCTTTCCAGCACCGTGCACGTCCAGAGCGGGCTGGGGAAGGGACGTGGGGCGAGAGACCCCACAGGCCAGGTACCACGTGCCAAATACCCCGTAACTCTGCAGCAACAGCCGCAGTCATTCCAGCAGGGCCACGCCACGGAAGAATCTCATCTCTCTAAGATTTCGTGCTCCGAAAAACTCTCTCCCAGGCCAGCTTGCTCAGAGCTACAGGAGGTGGAAACAAAACCCTGCTCAGAAATAAACAGCCCGCTCGGAGAACACCGAACCTGCACGCGGTTTCGGCACTCAGACACAACGCAAGACCTGTAGAGCCACCGAGCAGCCGGCAATTCCGACCCAAGCACCAGGCCCTTACCCCGCTGCCCAGCTCCAGACCCACAGCCCAGCTTTTGGGAACTGCCGAACCCACCGCGGGTCCCGCGGGCCGAGGAGCCGGGCACCGGCATCGCTGTGCCGGGCGGCCCCGTGCCTCCCGGGGAACCCCACCCCCACCATTGTGCGCAGGGTGCTGCTGTGGAAAGGAAGGGAAATCAGGGCTATTTTTGGAATCTTGTTTTATTGTTTTCTACTCCAACTCGCAACCGTGCCGAGATTTACTTGCAGGAGTTGGATTTTAACAGACCCAGGGAGAATTAGCGTCCCCTGGGCAGAGAGGGCAGGGACACGGGGTCTGCGTGGCTGGTACTTCACAATATTTTTGGGGCCAATTTATGCAGTCAGGTTAACAAAAGCAATAGGCGATACTGGAAAAGGGCAAGAGCCGACCCGGCAGTGCTACAAGAAGGTACACAGGCAAATTAAAAGCAACCTGTGCTGGGAGATGGGAAGTGGCAGGTAAAGCAGAGGGAAATCCCCCACCTTTCCAGTTGCAGCTGCTCCCTGCCCCACGGAGGGGGAAGCCAGGGGTCCAGAGGGCTTCGAGCAAACCCCCCTCTCTCCCCTCATTAACCATCGTTATCTGCAGGTCTTAACTCTTTCAAACACCGCTGCGTGGTTTGGCGACAGACTAAAGGTCGGTTCCTCACCTCGCGCCGGCCAAGATGCCGGGGACCGAACCCCGATTCGAGCACCAGCCTCAAAACCCACCTCTGGTTTCAAACACAGCATTTTAAGTGTTTCCCCGCAGCGGGCACGAGGGAGAATTTCAGCTCGGCACCTTGCAACGCATACAAAATATTCCCCCTCGGTCAATAAACGCTGTTCTCTCAAGTGGATCCTCCAGGTGCAGAATACACCACCACCCTGCCCCCCCGAACAGTTCTTCTGCACAGAAAAATCAAAGCATAAAGTATTTGGGTCACGCGGGAGAGCGCCAAATCCCGACAGCAAGCTTTCCACAGGGCACGGCCGGCTCTCTAGCCACGGGCTAGTCGGAACAGCTCTTCTCTGCTGGGCCCGAGCACACGCTGTTGTCCTTCACACATTGCAGCCTGCAAAGGCTGGCAGCAAAGC